TTACACTGATGGAGAATGTGCTTCCACTTTGGAGGGATTTAATCAGAAATGCAAAAAAGCACTTCCAAGGTTTGTCAAATTGGAGGAAATTGCTGCTACGTCCTTTTTATCTTTTTTGATTGTTTGTGCATGTGTGTGAGGATGAATTGCATCTGGCTGCTTTTATGTTCCCAAATGTAAGTATTGTGGAGTAAACTGAGTCAGGGAGAATTTCATTGTTTGGTGGATTTTAGTTTGTTAACAGTTCATCACAAACAGCATCTCATCCAGTGATTGCTTCTCTTCCACCATCCAGTCACCTACAGACCAACTACAGTAAAACCTTCCAGAGGGGGAACGTGGACTTCCTGGAGACCCCTGAGATCATCACCACCATGCTGGTTCCTGGTAAGATTCTCACCCCAGCATCTGCAGTTAATAAGATTCAGAGTGCTCTTACTCCTCGGCTTCAGGTGCCCTTCGGTGAGGCCATCATCAATCAGAAAAGCATGCTGTGCAAACAAACAATGCGCCTTTTTAACATTCAAATCAGGATGCTGCAGTCGACTGGGATGCTGAAATATCACGCTGAGAGTTCTTTGATTTGACTGTTTCACCCTGCAAATGTGATGAAGCGTCAATATAACACCGGATTACACTTATTGACTCATGATTTTTGTGTTTTGTTGGGTTTTTCGGGATAAATATTGTGCGTAGCTTTGACATGAATCACATAAAAAGACATTTAACACTCAGCAGACAAAGCAAACAGTTTCTTTGTCTGCTTTTGTCAGTAGATATCCAACATTTACATCCTCGTCAGTTGTCTGTCTTTATTATTTCTGCATTTTTACCAAGAATTTGTGTTAATTCTGTTGTACAAGTCTCATTCCCTGCATCACATACGACTCAGAGCAGAAAACACAAATACACAATCTATGCACAGAGCTCAGATGTGTGCGCTCAGCGTCACAATCTTTATTTCTTCTGTGTATTTCTTTCGCAGCCTCGTGGTGGGTCCTCAACAACAACTGAAAGTAGACCGGCACCCTTCATCGATCGCCACCGGTGGGTGCAAAGAGCAGGCGCTTGTCAACACATCAGGACGTCCACAGCAGCAGCAGCAGCAGCACTCACACACACACACACACACACACACACACACACACTGGCTCATACAGACGCACACACACCAACTTGACACAACTTGTGAAGTCATGGTGATTAGTATCGATTTTATGACCTCCATGTTCCTTCATAGTTAGGTGGTAGCTGAAATAGGCCCACGCGTGTTTGTTCGCACTCCTAAACGACGCTCTGACATCCTAAAAGCAATGACCTCATCAGACGGTGACCCATCTGATGATCTGACATCATCACTGTGTTTGACGTGACATCATCTGCAGCCTGGGGGGAGGGGGGGAGTCGATCCACGAGAGCTGAAGCGTATGAGTGTGTGTGTGTGTGTGTGTGTGTGTGCTTATATAACTATATTTGTGAGGAACCGTGAGGATAGTTTCTGGTTTTAGGTGAGAATTAGGTTCAGATCACAGTTCGAGTTGGGTTTAGGCGTTTAGATTACACAGTTTAGGGGATAGCAAATCTATTATGTCAGTGAGTGTCCTCACAAAAATAGCCATACAGATGTGTGTGTGTGCGTGGGAAAGAACAGGAGAGGGTAAGAGGCACACAGAGAGATATGTAATAGTTTCAATTGTAGCAGCTCTGGGGAGCTCATTAAACCATAATTCAGCTGTTTCTGTATTTAATGTGTCAGATAGAAATAAAGATGATATTGTTGTGTATGCTGTGTGTGTCTCTTTCTGTGTCTTTACAGGGAAACTATTTCCACAGTTTGATCTTTGGTTTATGGTTAGTGCGACTGTCTGATAGCAGGATGTATCAAAAGTAGCATTATTAAAGGATGATCCCCATGTAAATGCTTGACGTGAGTATCAGGGATAGAGTCAGGATGATGATGATATTGTTATAAAGGAAAAATGATGTTAAGATAGATAGTTCACTGCTTTTCTGTGTACAACAACATCACATGCAGGTAAAGACTGTATCTGGAAAAAAGTTATTTGATAAACAGATTGTGCTTTAAGCCGGACGCTCAGTCTAACTCGCTCCAGCAAGACTTATGATGCATACTGTATATGTTTGCAAGTTGTGCCTCCATGTGGACGGAGAGCAGCGCTGCAGGTAAAAGACACAGCAGCTGCAAATTATTCAACTGAAGAGAAAAGATGACAACTAATTATTCATCACATTTCATCAGTAAATCTGTATGATGGGGGGAAAAATGGTTTATTAATGTAGGTTAAGCTTATATCTGATCATATAGTGTGAAATGATGCCCTCACACATTATATTTGAAATGTAGATTTACTGTTTTTCTTTAGATTTTGAGAAACATATTAAAACATGGTTGGAGCCATAAAGACAATAGATGATGAAATCTTTTAAACTCAGGCCCAAATATTTCTCTCTGTGCAGATTTTGTATTAAAAACTACATAGAAATATTGCACTTTGAGACACGTGAAGAGCAGCAGTATCCTCTGTTTGTCTCTCCAGGCTGCTGCTGCTGCTGGTATAAATACACAGCGAGGTGTGAACACAGAGGAACAAAGTCCTTCACCGCTGTCACATCAACATTCATGAACACATCGAGGTCACGCCGACACTCAGGAGAGAAACATTCATGTCACAGTGACTTAGAAGGATTTACGAAAGCCAACGGCAACAACCCAGTTCAGCTGAAGAGAATAATGGCTTGTGGTGCCTCGGTGGCAACAGCGTCGCCGATGTGCTGTTGACCTTCATCTACTGTGTGTATGAACGCATACGTTTAATAAAACAGCAGGACTAAGTGTAATAATGTCAGATTTAGGTTCATGGGTTCATTAACAGCAATTTATAATTTAGATCATTTGATTTAATTCAAGTGCCTCTGGATTTAAATTAGAACAAAGGGCAAGATTTCAAGGTTTTAGGTGCTCCAATGACTGCTGGATTTATCTCCTGTGCTGGCGAGTTAAATCTGCTTGTTTTAAGAGTGCATCCACGATAGGACCAGGCGGGGGTGGCACAAGCCATCTCACTGATTTCGATGAAACTTGGCCAGTTT